GCTGTCAATGTATGTACAAAACCACGACCTTCCCCAGTCCACACTGCCGATTTCGTAAGGTCAACGGGAAGTGCTCTTCCTTGAACCCTGTGCTCCACAGCACCTCCATAGCTCCCACACTGGACCTCAGGGCTTCAAAAGAAAGAAAGTGCAAGAGACCACAGGATACCCTCCTCCTGGCTTGGGGTCTTATGTGTCTCCCCAGAATCTGCATTTCTCCAAGATCTTGTGGTATCATTTATTATGAGGAATAGAGACACAGCATTTTTTAAACCAAAGCCTCCATTGTTTCATATTTTATGGTGTTTTACAGGCAGCTGAATTTGGCACCCAGACATAAGCTTTCACATTTGCTTCTTCCCTCCCTCCCCCAACACACTCACACTGTGATGGGGAAACAGATATTTTCCTTTTAGCATTTTACACAATATGATTCCAAATGCTTTCCTTCAGTTCCTCAAATGAGTCACTTGCCATGGTTTTTCTAACCACAGGGCCCTTGCACTTCCTCCTTTTCTCTAGAAGATGCACCTCTCTTTTTCGCCAGCTAGTTCTGTAACCAAAGGGGAGAGCACTATTAATACATGAATCATAGACATTGTAAGAAATAACTGAGATAATACACATTAGCACATAATACAAAACATGGCACATTATAAGGACTCAGTGCTACCGCTGCCACCATCACCACCACCATCATCCTCATCACCACTACTTTATCTCCAAATTATCCTCCAGATCTCTAATCAAATGTTCCTGGCTCCAGAAAGTTTTTATGTTTCCCAAATTGGATTGGGCTTCCCTGTTGTACTGATTCCTATGACATGGACCTTTTCTTCATAGCATTAATTAGATTCCTTAACTAGGTACTACTCAAAACACACACACACACACACACACACACACACACACACACACAACCCACAGGATAACGATTATGACTCCAAGGGGAAAAAAACTTGAGAATTTGTGTAATAAGTACATTTGTTATGGGCCATCAATTTTCTAGAAAAATACCCTGCACTTAGTGCACAAAAACATGTTGAATTCAAGGATAAACAATTAACCTCTCTTTATTCTGATTGTGTTTTAATCATCAGCTCTTTCCATCCGTTTCCCTCCTGTTCATTATTTCAAGAGTTCTGAAGTTTGAGGAGACAGATGCATCAAAAAGCCACATGAATAGAAGAGAATAGAACAGGACAGAAGAACAGAGACAACCCACACAAAAACATATATTGAGAAAAAGACAGCCTTTTTAACAAATGGTTCTGGGAAAACCGGATCTCCATATATAGAAGAATGAAACTGGATCCTTATCTTTCATCCTACGTAAAAAGACAACTCAAAGTGTATCAAAGACCTAGAATTAGACCAGGAGCTTTGCAAGTGCTAGAAGAAAACACAAGGCCAACCCTCCAATACATTGGTGCAGGTGCCACCTCCTATACTCAAGAAATAAAACCAAGAGTCAATAAGTGGATGATATCAACTTTAAAAACCTTCTGTATAACAAAGAAAACAACAAAAATCATGAAGAGAGAGCCTACAGAATGGGAGAAAATGATTTGCCAGCTACTTCTGCAGGGGATTAATATTCAGAGTATAAAGAACTTACTCAAAAACTTAACACAAAATAACCCCAGAACACTATCAATAAATGGGCAAGAGAACTAAATAGTCATTTCTCAAAAGAAGACATATAAATGGACAACAAAAATGTGGAAAATGTTCAATTGCCACTACAATCAGGGAAATGCAAATCAAAACAACATTGAAATATCATCTCACTTCAGTTTGAATGGCAATCATCAAGAATAGAAAGGATAATAAATGCTGGCAAGCACCTGAGGGAAAGATGCACTCTTACCTCGTTGTGGGACTGCAAATTAACAACCTGGGAAAGCAGTGTGGAGATTTCTCAGAAGCCTGGGAATGGGACCACCCTATGACCCAGCTGTCCGACTCCTCAGTATTGTCCCAAAGAACTGAAATCACCCTACTTTACCAGCACATCAGTACTTATAACAGCGAAGTTCACAATGGTCAAGTTGTAGAACCAGCTCTGGCAGCCGTCAACAGATGAACTGATGAAGAAAGGGGGTCCAACTACACAAAGAAATCTGACTCCACCAGGAAGAAGAGTGAAACCATGGTGTTTGCTGGTAAACGCTTGGGAAGTGGAGACCATCATAAGTGAAATAAGCCACACTCAGAAAGTCAAGGGTCAAATGTTTTCCGTCCTATAGAGAAGCTGCAGCAAAACGAGGAGAAAAAGGTGGGGGTTCTTCTCTGAGAACAGAGGGGAGATGGGTGAAGTAGAGGAAGAGGATGGGGAGGGAGGAAAACGGAGTGACTGTAGAATGAAAATGTCAAAATCATTTTATGAACATATATGAATATGCCATGGTGATTTTCACCTTGATGTTTGTCTATAAAGTGTCAATCAAGAAAACAATAACACAAGAAAGAAAGAAGAAGGAGAGCAAGGGAAGGGGGGAGTCACACAGGAAGCTCTGGGGACTGAAATGGAGCAGATCATCTTCCATGCAGGTATGATTATGTCAAAACGAACCTTGGTGTTATGTAGAACCTTAATGTAATATTAAAACATTTTTTAAAATTTTTAAAAAGAAGTCATAACTAGAGGTCCCAGTTTCCAGAGTCCCAAGTGGAGCAGAACTCAAGTAGGCCTATTTCAAATCACAAAGTGTCTCAGGCATAGACAGAAAATGGCAGAAGATATGTTATGGACTGAACATTGGTGTCCCCCCAAAATGCATGTGTGGAATTCCTAACCCCAACGTGACATTATTTGCAGGTAATGGTGCCTGAGGTTCTGCGGGCGAGGTTCTCTTGATGGGATTAGTGTCCTAACAAGAAACACTTGAGAGCTTCCCTGCCCCCTGTCTCTCCAGCAAGAAGGTAGCTTTCTTCAAGCCAGAAAGGAGTCCTCACCAGAACCCACCCATGCTGACCTTGGACTGTGAGAGATGAATGTCCGCTGTTGAAGCCACCTGGTCTATGGTGTTTGTTATAGCAGCCCTAGCAGGCTGATACACCTCCTCTTGCAGACAGGAGTGAGGGGTTGGCCTTTGCTGCACACCACAGGCCTTCAGCCCTTGCTGTACAGCTTGCTAAATAATTGCACTGGTCAGTTGTGAAAGCAGAGCTGTGAGAGAGTGTGCAAAGAAAATGCTTTATGTCTGACACACTGTTTCCTCTCCCTGGACTCACGGAGGACTATTTCCCAGCCTCCCTGGTACTTGGATCGGGGTCCTGTCTGAGTTCTGGCCATCATAGTTCAGGCAGCAGTGATGTAAGCCACCTCATGCCTGACCTGCAGGGTGGTCTGGCACAGCAGTTCACGTTGTCCCCCACTGCTGAGGTTTGGATGTTGAATGTCCCCAGAAGGCCCATGCGCTAGAGGTTTAGTCTGCAGAGTGGCATGGCCGGGACTATTAGGAGGAGGGGTCTGATGGAGGTCCCTAGGTCAACAGGGCTGTGCCCTCTGATAAGATTGGGGACCCCCTCCCCTTCCTCTTCTCTTCCTCATGGTCACGAGGTGAGTAGTGGGCTCTGCCATGTGCCATCTGACACCCTCACCTCAAAGAAAGGGGTCGTCCTGAGCATGAACTGGAGCTCCTTAAATCAAGAGTGAAAACAAATCTTTTCTCTTGATGATCTTCTCAGGCATCTTGTTATAGCAATGGGAAGCTGACTAATGCCCCACCCTACAGCCACCTTGGAGGCCATGAGAGCTACCTGTCACCCACTGTACCCCATTCAGGTGACAAATAACTTATTTTATTTTATTAAGGCCCCAGTATTTAAAGGTTAACTTATGACTGCAGCTTATCCTACTGCCATAAGGACTAATGCAAAGAAGCAGAGTGGAATCCTGGGAAAAGAAAGGAAAAGGCCAAGAGTTTGAGCCCTGGCTCTGTCATCAGCTTATAAAGTGAGGTTAAAAAGTTGCCTCCTCTCTAGTCCTGGATTTTCTCATCTGTTATTCACACGTGAATAGATCACCGTGAAGGCTCTCTAACATACTCCATACCCACTGGGAAGCTGGACTCGACGTTTCAGTATATGCCTCCTTCCCACAACTCTAAAAGCAATTTTATGAATGAATCACATTGTTTTCACTGAAGACTTGTTGGGAGAAAACAAGCTAGATATCATCTAGAGTGACCATAGGTGTCATATTTTGACTAGTTCCCATTCGTCACCGCAGTGTGATTCAGGGTGATTCTTAAAGGACCCCCTTTTGTCTCTTAGGCATTGAACAATAAAAGATAGGGCCAAGTCACTTACATAACCCTCAGCATACCGTAACTGTCACCAGACAGCTCTCTGCCTATACTATAGTTTCCCCTCCACCTTGAGGCTGCACCCTCCCCATGCATCTTCCCTGGAGTCCTTTACAGGACCAGCAACCCGGCCAGCGAGGTAGCTGAGAAGTTGCTCATAGAAATACCCAACTCGCAAGTCCCCTTCACATGCCATGGTCTCAGACTCACTATGTGGCCCTGTCCTCATGATAAGGGAGACAGATGACTGTAGACTTCCTGGCACTCGGTGCGCTCAGGAACAAAGCCAAATTGGTGCGTTCGTGTGAGGAATATTCTAACCAAATGCCTTTTCCTTCTCTAGGACAAAGTGACTATGGGTCAAGCATTGCCTGAAAGTTATGGATTGAACTCTGGGGTGTTTAAACACTGAGCCACATCCCCAGTAATTTCTATTTCTTATTTTGAGACAGGGTCTATGATAAGTTTCTGAGGGCCTGTCTAAATTGTTGAGGCTGGCTTTGAACTTACGATCCTCCTGCCTCAGCCTCCTGAGCCTCTGGGATTACAGGTGGGCGCCACTGTGCCCAGCCTAGAATGCCATTGTTAGTGGCAAAAACAGTGTATCTGACTGATACACTGTGAATGAACTATGAACACTTGGTGGGACAGAACAAACTTGGGCTTCCTGCAGTGCAGGACCCAGAAGCCGTGACAACACAATATTGGGTATTATGAGCTTAAGGCTTTTAAGCAAAGGTGGATCCTCTACATAGCTCCACTGTCTCATTACAATGCAACACCTGTGCTTTGGGAGGAGGGAAGACTGCCCCTGGGACCTCCACGAAATTCGCTTGACACTGGCCTGTTGGCGGCTGAGTTTCCTCTGCCTTATTCTTCTGAGTGAAGTGAACCGCTGTGTGACTCCTTGATGTCGGGAAGCAGCATCAGCCTGGGCCGTTGCATTTGTGAGAAATGCCACTTCCCCTCCCAGACCTTCTGCCTTGGAATCTGAGTTTTATCAAGCCCTCCAGGCTATTCCCAGGCATGGGTAAATTTGAGAGGCAGTGGTGTAGATGGATCAGGGCCAGAACCTGTGGTCACATGAAACAGGCACAGTAGTGAACATGAGCCAATTTCTGATAGTCTTGTGAAGCTCTTACCCCTCTCCAGGTAGGATCAATACTTGTGTAGGTATTTTCCTTTTATGATTTCTAGTGTATTTTTACATGCGGATGGGATTTGTTGTTATATATTCACACATGCACACAATATAACAATAGAAATTGGCCAATGTCGCTCCCAGAACTTTCCCCCTCCCTCCCACCCTCCCACCCCTTCCCTTTCCTCTATTGATCTCCTTTTAATTTTTAGGAGACTCACCCCCACCTTTACCTTCCTTTTTTCTCTTAGTCACAGCATTACTGATGTTCTCCAGACGAATCTGGAAACGGAGAAATTAGGTCCTTCTTGCTAAACCTATTTTTAATTGATTCGCTCTCAGTCCCAATGCACCATGGACCACAGGTTCCCCAGGGTTTTGAATTGATTCACATTTAGGCTTTATTTTCTTCCTCCAAATGTGCTTACCAAGCTCTACTACATTAAAGCAAAGCAAAGAGGGAGGAAAGGCAAACGTGTGGCCCCACAGATGGCAGTTCCCGTGGTCCTGTGAGGCTCAGGAGGCCCTGGGCTTCCAATGGACAGACATGCACCGGAACCCAAGGCACAGCTTTGGAGGAGGCGCTGGCGGTCACGGCCACCTTTCCCAGCCACGCCCAGGGGCAGCTCTCTGAGGAAAGCAGAACCCACTTGTATAGTTTGGCCAAAGTGGCAGAAGGAGCCCCTTGGAATGATGGCTTACTCTCTCTCAGTCCCCACGGAGGGTTTTCAGAGCACACTAACATCTCCTGCCTGAAGGGCAGAGGGGCTACCCCCAAATCAACTATACAGAGAAAGAAGTGAAGGATTCCCAAAGTTGGCTCAACCACTCACTCACTCCATGAGCTGGTTTCAGAAGGAGAGACTTCGTTTTATTTATTTTTTGTTGTGTATTCTATATTCCCTGGAAAGAGGTAGTGAAAGGTAGTTCATGGTACTCAAACAAGGAAATACTAGATTTTTCCTATGACACATAGGAAACTACATCTATTTAAAAAGAAAAATACGGCCCAACGTAGATTCAGAACGATCCCAAGACATGATTCACAGCCTTTCCTATGGGTAGGGATTAGGGATTGGTGGACCTTTTGTGTATGGAGGAACACAGTCATTGTTAACAACCTGGGACTAACAAAGTAATACCACACAGGAAGAAAAGGAGATCGATATATTTGGTAGAATTGGAGCTGGGAGTCAGCAGGAGGGACAGAAGACCCAGGAGGGGAACAAGGTCAAATGAGAAAATGAGGAGGGTAGAACCTGGAAGCCTAGGAGGGAGAAAGGAATGGGGAAAGGGCGTCTTTGGAGCTGTGACCAGGGAGGAAGACGAGGGAGATGTGTTCTCTGGATATGTAGCCCTGTGGCTTCTTGGGTATTTGGTCTCTAACACTTCACATCCACAAAAGCAGAGTTCAGATCCTTTCAACAAATGTAAACCAAATGTCCTGTGTGGACCAGAAGGTGTCCTAATACACAACATTCATCTGTTACCCATCCAAAAGGGGAAAGTGATTGTCCCCATATTTACCAATGAAAACTACTGAGAGTCCAGGTGACTAGGTAGACCCCCAAAGTGTGCAAGCCCCTATCCTCCTGCAGACACTCATCAAATGCCTGTTGTGGAATAGAAGGAGATGGGTGGGAATTGAGCTGGGAATCTGTATTTCCCAGATACTTCTCTGAACTCTCCTCCAAATAGCTACTCTCTTCTAAGGCTGCATTGAGGAAAAATCTCCTCCACTCCAAGTTTTTCCTTTTCCACCACCCCGTGGTCCCCACATAGGCTATCCCATCTCTCAGCCCACTGCCCATGGGCATCAAGCATATGGACATTTTTGCTCTGCCCGTCTATCTCCATCCCTCCTTTTCTTTATCTACTTGGATGTTTTTGTGCTGCTAAAAGTTTGTGGTTCAGTAGGCAAAGTTGGGCCAGGACTTTTTGTTCTTCCCAGTAAAAATAATTACTATGAAAAGTGAACTGGTGTCTTCTGTTGGGGTTTCAACTTCTCTTACCCATCACAACTGAAAATGTGTGTCATTTCACAGTTAATGTACCTGAATAGTGTACTCAGTGTCCCAGACATTCAGGGTTAAATCGATTTTTACTTCATATGAAGACTGCTGGACTTTAGCTTCCTAGAAATTAAAAAAAAAATCAGCCCACTTTAAAGAGAAAAAGGTCATTTCCTGATTTTGTTAGCATCAGGAAACAATGCTTTAGGGTATCTTCTAGTGCGGGCCTCCACCTAAGTCTAGAACAACCAGAAGATTCAGGCCTGATCCTACATGTAAAGAGTTCAATTGAATGCCCGGCACAGGAGTGCATGCCTGTAATCCCAGCGGCCAGGGAGGCTGAGACAGGAGGATCTCCTGTTTAAAGCTAGCCTCAGCAATAGCAAGATGTTAAGAAATTCAGTGAGACCCTGTCTCTAAATAAAA